CTGTCTGTCACACAGTCTCATCCTCTCTCTCTCGTTGTTGTCGGGGTTTTTTTTCCCTTTCTGATTTACTCTCCTTCTTTCCCCATGTCCTGCTTCCTCGGTTTTCTCCGCTCTGTTTGTTGTCAATTAAGAATCATCAGTCATATCGTTTGTGGGGGCTGAATCTGTTACTTCAGTCCTGGCAGCCGATTTAGGCATCTTAGAGGCCATTTTGTTGTCGTCCATTTTCACATTTCCTCCTAACTCTACTCCACAGAGGCCAGGCACCACACTATAATTACCCAATCTGTTCCTATTCAGGCTCCTCACCCCTCTCTCACTCCCCTTTACTCCCCCTCTTTCCTCCACACATCTTTTGGGATCCAGTGCCACCCCCCCCCCAATTCTATCCTTTTCTTGCCATTGCGGGAGTCAGGGGTTTACAATATGGGGGTATTAAGGTGCTGGCTCAGCTGGGGGCTGGCTTTAGCCAGCTGAGGGTTATCCATGACGAGCCCTGAGTCATAGCACTGCTGTCCTGTGATGTTGCTGAGGCGGAAGACTTTGCTTAACGCGCTGTACTCTTTGATGAACCCTCAGACCCTGCACTCTGGCAGCGGCCACCTGTTGGCTATCTGGATGAGCATTTCATTCACTGTAACCACAGAAATAATGAAATTCTTTCAGTTTCCCCTGATAAAAATCTTTTATTAACAACATAAGGCTTCCTCAACACTTGTTGACAAACTTGGTAAATACATTTAACTTTTATTGGTTAATTTAACTCACCACTCAAGTTACTTTTATTCATATCATATATCATATTAGGTAAATATAACTGGAGGATTGCTATTATTTATATTTTTTATTAATTTGCCTACTTTGAAACCAATAAATAACGATTAAAATGAATTCCTGTATACCTGGAATGGAAACAAATGGGAACAACAAGAAAACATTTTGTTCCTAAGTTGACCAAAAATGATTGTAACCCTTTTCTGCAGCCAAAAACATTAATTTAAAAATTTCTCTAACAAGGCTGCATGTTTCTAGCCTGGGTGCCATTCCGAACTTAGTCCCACCCACAACATTTAAGGTCGGGAAGTTCGGTCTGGCATTGCTCCATAGTAGTGCGAGTATGCAAGCACAATATCTGGTGGGCCAATCAAATTGTCAGGGCGGGCTTTATACGATGATGGACAGATGATCAACAGTAACGTAATCAACCACGTGACCAAAGCGCGCATGGGAAACAACAACAATGGCTGCCGCTGGAGAGCTGAGGTGTGTACATTCTGCTATTAGGTCTGTTCTAGAAGATATCGACAGCAAATTAATTTTAAAAGAGGAACAGAGAAATGCGATCAAGGCTCATCTTCTTATTCTAGGCGTGCAACTGCACGCTTTGATTTTTGTTGACAACAACTGTGCCTGGCTTAACATACGTCACGCACTCCGTTGCTCTTATTTGTTGTAGGTCTATCCAATTGAGTGCAGAGGCATTTTTTTTTCCTGGTTCATTCGAAACACACCCCATAATCACAGCTCTATGGAGCAGTATCAGACTCATATTCTGACTAGAATTGAGTAGGACTACATGTTTCGCCACCTCTGATATTGAGCAGAATGATCGATGTCGGAAAACATTGCGAAAGGGTGGAAACATGGAGTCATCCAATCCATAGGAACCATTAGACAATATATACATGTTTACAATAAGACTGGTTGTTTGGGAGATTTACCAAGTGAACTTCTTTATGCCTTAGCATCACAGACCCAAACGTCTCAAAGTAAATTTTTTTCTGAGAAGATTTAAAAATGTTCTGCTTGACCCTATCCGAGAACTGGAAACCAAACATTTGACCTAATCATGAAAAGATAGCTGACTAGGCACAAAATCTTCCTTCTTTGAATGGCCATCTTAGTGCCAAGACCTATGTCTACCTGTTTTTCTATGCATCGTTTCACTTTTATTGCTCTTGAGGGAGGTATCCAAGGGTCATCTGAAAAAAGATGTCCAAGACACCTCAGCTGACTCCTTTCTATGTGGAGGCGAAGTGGCTCAACTCTGAGCTCCTCCCAAATGAGCAAGCTCCTCCACCTATCTCTAAAGGAGTACCCCCACCTTGCGGAGAAAGTTAATTTCAGCCGCTTGTATCTGGGATATCGTTCTTTCTGGATGATCCAGATTTCATGACCATAGGTAGGAACGTAGACCAACCGGTAAATCAAGAGCTTTGCCATTTTGCTCAGCTCACTCTTCACCACGGCAGTTTGAATTACAGCAGCAGCCGCACCAATTCGATCTCTCACTCCATTCTCTCCTCACTCATCAACAGGACCTCCAGATACTTAAACTCCTCTGCTTGAGGCACAAACTCTCCTTCAACCTGAAGGGGACAAGCAACCTTTTTGCGGTTGAGAACCATGGCCTTGGACTTCAAGGAGCTGATTCCCCTCCCAGCTTCTTCACACTTGGCTGCAAAGTTCCCCATGCCTTCTTGAGGACCATAAAGTATTTGTGGACTGGTTAGGCATTCTCCCATGAAGCCTCAATCACCCTTCAGAGGGTGTAGAGATGTTTCACGGCCAGTAGGAGAACCACATGCTCTTCCTGAAGCCAAGGTTCGACCATCAGCCAGACTCTCCTATAGTTGGAACACATCCTCCATTCCCCTTTCTTATGCAGGGGAACCACCACTTCCGCATGTCAATCCAAGGGCAATGTCCCAGACCTAAATAAGCTGGGTTCCAGAGACCATGCAATGCATGGTGGAGAGCCCAACAATTTCTAGCTGGTATCACTACACCTCCTGCACAAGCTCTGGCCCCTTCCACACCAGCGACGTGACATTCCACATGCACACAGTCAGCCTTAGCAACCGCACACTGGGTCGCCTCTGCCGCTGATTGACACCCAATCCTCTTCGCAACGTTGGACTCCTATCACTCCTCCACCACAAGGTGCTTGGCAATGAACCCCAACCCCAGGACTGGCTCCAGGATGGGACCACGGCTGCTCCACACCGTGCAACGTCTCCTGCCACTCCTCAGGGGAGTGTTGGCCTTGTGGTTAGAGCAGTGCACTTGTGCTATGAGAAGGTTGCAAGTACCTGGTTCTATCCCCACAGCTTGCACTTTGGGTCTCTGGGCGAGACCCTTAACCCGACACTGCTCCCAGGGCGCCCCACAGTGGCAGCCGAGTTCTCCTCAAGGGGATGTGTCAAATGCAGAGGGGAATTTCTCCAGTGCGAGATTAATAAAGTTTCAATTATTATTAATTATTATTTTTAGTTATCATGGGGCTTTGCGAACCGCTTTTTTTCCTGACCTGTCAATCAGAGCCTGTTTGCCTACCAAGGGCAATGTAGCCCCCACCACATACCCTCTGGGATCATCCAGGCACTGAAACCCCTCCACTACATTAAGGTGGCAGTTCAAGGAGGGGAAACATTATCCACACATTCATGTTTCTAAAAAAAAAATATGTGGCCATGTAGACATTGTAAAAAAAGGGGGTTGGTTCTAAAAATGTCAGTCTGATGGATTTCATTAATCCTGGGTTCAAAATACAAAAAAAATATTTTACCACCAAGACTGAGTTTCCCAATTATGTTTTTAGCTGAAGTTCTAGTTTGAAATACAGTAGATTATAAGCTGTAAGTTGTTACATATGGTAAACACACATAGCTGATGCTTGTCAAATTAGGACTATACTTCTGCTGTAGCAAACAGCTCAAGCTCTCCATTATAAAACTAATAGTTCCTTAGCAGCCAGTTAGGAACCTTGCAAACTCCCCATGCTAAGGGAATATGATAAGAAAGGATCCTCCTCCTACCTACTGCTGGCAGATGATGACATATCATCCGCTTTGGCTAAAGAGTCCTGACCAGTTTTATGATCAAATGTATTAATTTCTTTGTTCATTTAATAGACTTCTGAGTAATACGGACTCATGAATAATGTAGGAATAAGGAGATCATTTATGTTAAGGCCATTAGGAAGGAGAAGGGATATGATTAAATATGTTTCATGTCTTCATACTAGTTTTCTAACACAATCATTCAATTATACAGTTATAGATATTGTTTAACTATATACATACAGTATGAAGTAATTGTAAGAAAAAAGCTAGAGTAGGGGCTTAAAAATCCAAATTAATTATGATATAAATGAAAATGCAAAATATAAAACTACAATATCTATAAACTGAATGTTTGTACAACTAAATTCTATGAAATTGATGCAGATGTTTGTTTGTTCACCCTCTAAGTAAATATTGTTTTATCATTTCAAAATCAATCTACCATTAAGAAAAACAAAACTTGAAAAAAAAAAATGTCCAGTACTTCCAGTGAAAATAACATCCAACAGCGATATATCAATGAAAGCATCTTTTGTTATTATTATGTAGCTTATTTGAAAAGGTGGTTTTCAGCCTCAGACATCGGAGCAGAGCACCAGAAGTCAGATGCTGTGCAGTAAATGACGAATGTTTTGCCATATTATCTCCCTTTAGGAGCATTTGAGGCTCAAACAGAGAGATACAGAGGATACACGCTGTTTCTAATATTGTGACCGGCTGATATAATAATATGCTCGGCTGGATGTGTTTCCTTGTAAAAGGAGGATATGAGAAGGTGAGCAGTTCCTCTCCTACTTTTGAAATGGGGCTGATAACATCCAGCCCAGTTTAAAAAGTATGTGTGTGTGTGTGTGTGTGGGTGGGTGTGTGTGTGTAGTTTGAGGCACAGGCAGCAAGAAGGCTGATTTCAAAGTTTTTTTTTCTTTAGAGGAAGCGGCATTTTATCCAAACCGGTGTCGTTTCAGATGTTGGACTTCAAACGGGCTTCATTTTATTTTTTTTTTCTGCTTCTCATTTCATCTGTTTCTTTCCCCTCCTGCCAAAATACCGCAGCCACCCCTCCATTAAAAAAAAAGGGAAAACTATTGTCATCTGAGTCTAGATTCATTTTAGATTAACGTTCACATTTCTTTCTTTCCTGCATTACCCTCAAAGGACCTCCATTATGTCGCCAGTGATAAGGGCGAGGTGGTGCTCGCGGACGTGGCCAAGAGGAAGGCTAATGAAATCGAAGCCCGGGCCATCGCAGGCAACGGTAAGAAAATAATCACTTGTCACCAAAAAAAAAAAAAAATTTTTAATAAAAAATAAAATAAAGCCCATTATTCCTCCTTACATCTGAATGACCTCAGCAGCTCAGCCCTGGTGACACAGCTGAGATGCCTTTTACCAGCAAGAAGGAAGAATCAAATGAGAATCAAATCAGATCACGTTTGAATAAAAGATTTGGCCGCAAAAAACACACAACAGGTTGCCGTGCTTTTCTTCCTCCCTTCTACATAGAAACTTTAAAATCTGCACAACATCTAATGTGAGGCATGAGATGAAAGTTTTTCAGTGTAACCCAGCATGGGAGAAAAACTCAACCAAGGCCCCGAGTTCCTTTCTCTTTTTTTCAGCCTGTGCTGCTGGCCTTTGACAAACACTCCCCAAAGCACATACCAGAGGGGATCAAGTCGAGTTCCTGATTACAGACACATTCTCACACACACACTCAGTCCTCACAGAGGCTTCAAGGGCCAACGGCTGGGCAGAAAAACATTCAGCGAGGGAACTAGATGAACATGTCGGATGAGTCCTTCATTGATGCTTAAAAGCGCAGCAGAACGGCTGCGCAGGCTTGTTTGTGTGTTCGCTGATGAGCTATTTAACTCCACCGTATAAGGTCAAACCCCCCAGGCTGACCGTCTCGTCTGCCTGGCTGGGAATGAAAATGAGCATTTGTGTAACTCTAAGGCCTTTTTTGCATCTGTTTTCCCTTTTTTTTTTTCATTTTACTAATGTGATGCTTAACACGCACACGCCCCCTCCTTCATAATCTCCCTTAATTATGTCCTCGATGATTTAGCTCCATCACCCGCAGCATGTCCTATCCTTGGACAGCAGCACTGTGGAGCAGGGAGGCAGGGACACAGGTGGAAAGAGGAGTGATAGATGGAAGGACTGATATAAAAAAAAACATAAATATCATGTCAACATTAAAATATAACAAAGATTTAAGACTCCGGGCTGATGCTAATGTTGGATGAGATCTTTTCTACGGTTATACGATATCAAAGGATGATGAACTGTACTTCAGTACTTACATTTAGTTACATCTGGGTTTTAACTTTGGTAAAAACAGAAAAAAAACAGTTTTCAGTTACTGATGGATTTAGATTTGTTTTCACTTATTTTTTAAAAAGCTGTAGTTTCTTCCAAATTCCTAACTTTCTTTTTGGTCTTAGGACAAAAATAAAAGAAAAGAAGGTGCATTTGATTGATTTTAAGTCATACAGGAAGTGAATGGGTTGCAGCGTTATACCTATTTGTGCGTCAAAGCGTTTGTTCCTGACAGTGATCGTATTTTTCTTTATGAAATGAAGCAGATGTTTTAGGAGATTATAAGCTGAAGATTGTCATCGTTTTTATTGATGCTTTAAGGTAAAATAGTCCAGTTTCAATCTGTGTGTCAATCTTTTCTGTCACAAATGAAACATGATGGAGCATAATGTTAAAAAAAAATAAACGGATGATCAAAGTAACGAGGAATGTCAGTATTTACACTTAAGCTTATTTAGAATAAAAAATATGCAAATACAAACCTGCTTCCACTGAATAAAGTCCAAACCTGAATACTTCCATTCACAGCTCCAGATTTTTGGGATCCTCAGTGTGGATCTGTGTTTTTTTTTTTTTTAGCCTCAGAGTGCATAGAAACAACTGCAAGGCACTGGTTATGCTAGTCCATAAGGAACACTAACCTACTCTCTGTCTTTAAACCTCAGTGGCGTGTGTGCAGTCTGCTGGCGTGTAAGTGTGCATATCAACAGCACGTGAAAGGCAGGTCATCAATAATAAGGGCTGCTCTTCAAGCGCAGGGCCCCAGTGAACAGGTGTCTTACTTTACACCCTCACATGCACACATTTACCATCGGCAGAATAACCTGCAGGGAGGTGAAGGAAAGTTAAAAGCAGTGAGTGAACTGAGGGAAAGCAACAGTAGGGGAAGTTAACAGGTCAAAGTTAAAAGCCCATTTTCTTTGAAGTGCCTTTGACTGTTCACCTGTTAACTGAGGTATTATTATTTGTGGTCCTGCTTTTGTCATGTTTTCTTCTTATTCTGCTTTTATTACACTTCTTTTTTTCTGTTTAATTCATGTAATGAACTTCGAAATTACTTTGTAATTAATAGCACTATATAAACTTTCCTTGCTTTATCTGGACATGACTGGTTGAAACTCTGTCCTTTATATTACTGGGTCATTGTCTTCGGTCATAATCACTGTTTCCTCAGGGTGTCTAAAAAAAATCTATTTTCAGAGTTTTCCTTTTTTTTCAGGCCTTGTCAGTCTCTATTCTGGATGTTTCTTATTGAAAAAGCTCCTAAACTCCACAAGTGAGAGGCGGCCTAGTGGATAGGCTCCCACAGACTGACACTCTGGGTCTCTGAGCAAGACCCTTCACCTCACACTGCTCCCTGGGCGCCCCATGATGGCAGCCCACTGCTCTCCAAGGGGATGGGTTAAATGCAGAGATAAATTTCTCCAATGTGAGATCAACAAAGTTTAATAATTATAACTATAAATGTGATATAATGTGATAAACATAGTGCATATATATGTGCTGTGGAAGAAACGTTATAATATTATGAGGTGGTTTTGAAAAGGGTGAGGATATAAAACTGCAGTCGGAAAAGCAGCCAGGACAGAAATATGGTTGGAAGAACGATCTAATGTTTTATTTTTATCTAATGGAAAATTAATATCTTGTAAACTACAGTGAATGCACCATCCCTGTGGTGAAACAGGGCAGTGGCGCCGTCATGCTGTGGAATGTTTTACTGCTGCATGTTAGAGGTGATTGGATGGTGAAGGGAGGCACACTGTAGCTTTTACAGCTTTATGTTTGCAAAGTCTTTTCTTACTGATGCATTGTTTTCCTTTAGCATAAACATGAACTCCTTTATCGGCTGTCTCATAGAATAACTCAACAAAAAACATTGAAAATTGGAAAAATGTGACTGCAAGACAAAGTGGGGAAGCAGCAAATGAGGCCTGGGCTAAATATGGGGTTGTTTTGACACAGCTGCATTATCAGTGCCATATATGGAGGACAGTGAAGGTGCAACCGGTTACCAGCATGAACAAAGTAAAGTTCATTTTAGACTAAACAAACTCATATTTAAGTTGCAACTTAATTAGCCAACTCCTTCCATAAAGCAGTTTTTCTTTTCCATTTAAACACATTAGCTTGTTTTGAAAACAAGATCTCTATAGGCATGTAGCTGCAGAGAAACATTTTGACTTTTAAATTTTATGCATATATCGCATGTTCCTGTGTGCTTTAAGCCGCCTCCAAACGTTTTCACAATGCAGTTTGGAGGTGTGCATATTGGCTCCAGTTTGAGTTCTTCTTGAGATGCTTCCTACTTACATATGTCATCATAAAAAGCACCATTACAGCTTAAATCAGAAGAGATAAGACAAATAAATAATACTCCTCTGGGTTTGAGCTCTGATCATCATGTCTTTGTAAAGCATGTAGCAGTTGTTTATTAAAGTAAAAACAAGCCAGCTAGAATGTTGATTGTGTGTGAAGCGGGTTTTACTCCAGGTGTGAGATGCAGCCACTGAACTAGTTGCAGACGAATAGAGCAGAAGCAATAATTGCTGATGTTGTATCTTCTTAGAAAAAACCAAAGAGAACTGAGACGATTTGCATTTAAAAGATGTAACACCATCCTGTTTAGATCATTTTGCATGTCTTTTTTCTTTAAGAATTGACTCGGTACCAGATTGAGTGGTTGTTTACAGTGGATGCCAGTGATAGATGCCACATTTCTCTGCATCTCCTCTCGTATTTATGTGCATTGATTGTAAGTCCCGATCCGCAGAGATTCTGCCGCCGCTTGTACGCACACAAGTGCACAATGGAGAACACGGATCGCAGCTTAGAAATGCTCCGTTTCATAACAGCTTTGGAAATCGCTTATAGCCGTCTGGCTGACAAGTGTGCTGATTTGAATTGATATGGCGCTGTAAGAGGCAGAGCAGCGAACAAGTGCGAGGGAAGGCCTTTCTCTTTCCCCTTCCATCGCTCTTTTTTTTTTTTTATTCCTTCGCAGTGCCAAGTGGAAAAGCCAACTGGGTTTTACGCTGGTCGTGTCTCCCCCTCACAAAGGCTGATGTGACTGCAGGGCCTTTCAACGGGCAGGGGAGAGAGCTTTATCTGAAGATCCACTTCTCCACCTCCTCTCTGCCTTTCTATCTTCTCTTTGTTGTTCCGCTGAAAGCCTGTTAGCTCCGCTGTGCGTTGAGGGAAAGACGTGGTTGTTTCTGCTCTCTTTTCCAGCTGCTTTGTTTGCACATCCTCCATTACTGTTTGACTTCTTGTCTCAATCTAGAAATTCTCCCAAGTGGCAGCTCACTCTCACCGACAAAGCCTCGCTAAAGTATTCCTAGCTCATGAACTAGCTCACATTTTGCAGCCTTTTAACCACCAATGGCAAATACATTAGATTTTATGTGATAGACCAACATAAAGTAATGTGAAGTGGAAGGGAAATAAGGGCATTAAACATCTTTTACAAAGAACCATATGGAAAGTTTGGTGTTCCTCTCATATGTCTTCACCAAGTTGAGATGGTGATTCAAGAAGGGTAACTGAGATCTTTCATCGCTACCTAATGGTTTAGCTTTGTGTATACAAGGCTGGATCCAAGGTCTAGGCCTCGATTGTTTCTGCCGCTGCGGTGAAGAGCGAGCTGAGCCAAAAGGTGACCCTCTTGATTTACCAGCTGGATTAAGGTCCTACCTTCACCTTTGGTTGTAAAATATTTGTCATCACCTAAAGAACGAGACCTTGGATTCTAGATATTAGCTTCCTACAGTTGGCCATCCAGGAGAGGCTCAGGGAAGAGCTGCTGCTCCTCAACATAAAGAGGTCTAAACTTAGGACGCTTCTGTTCTAGATGACTCTCTTGCTCAGTTTCCCCTTGCTCACACTGGCTCCGGTTTGGTTACCGAGCCGAC